CCCTATTAAATTATATGTGTATCAAAACAAACTAAAAAAATATTTATAGAAAAACAATACTTTTATGACTTTTATTATTTTTATGCTAGTGAGAACCAAAACAATATGGAAATGAATGAGGGAAAACTGGATCCTACCGCGTGATTTCCCGGCCAATAAAAATGTAGCGTTAAACGTTTAACGCAACCTTGTTGGAAGTCGCATACGAAGTATGACTTCAAAAAAATAATTTGCTTTATTATATGTGTCATTATATAGCTTTCAGTTTTGCGCATGATTTCCTCCAGTACTGATTTATTGATTATTTTCTCTTTTTTGAAAGCCCGGTAAGAAGAACGGGTATCCAGCTATTATATAATGTAAAATGTAATTTTATATTATACTAGTTGAATCATTTAACCGTACGTGAAGAAAAAAAATAGAAATGTATGAATTGTAGTTAATATTTGTTTAGTACTAATATTGATACTTTCCTGAATTCAGGGAAAATTTTAGAATATAGGTGGGAGTCGAAATCAAGCTCCTAGTAACGTTTAGAGTCGGAGCTGAACATCTTTTTAATCGACTTTAGAGCTATGAATTCACCTCTACATAGTTAGCTATTTCTCTTTCAGACACAGACAAAGTCTATCTAGATGAAAGGTAGAGGAGTGGACAGCAGACGCAGTTGGGTAGTGGCCATAGCATGTGGAGTAGTATTCTCCCTCATCAACTGTCCAATGAGGTTGGGGGCCCAGTTATTTGTATCTCTGAAAGACTGTTACGGCACCAGCAGGAATGCAGCATCTCTACCATTCGAACTGGCCTACTTCACAAGAAGTATATCAGGTATAATGTTCTGTTGTTGCTTCTTTTACGCGTCTATTAAATACAGGTAGTTCTGTAAGGAAGACTTTTAGATTCTTCGTAAAAAAATGAAATGGTAGATCTTTTGCTCCAAAATTGACTGCTTTGAAAAAAAAACAGAAAAATATATAGGGTGCGGTACGGTACTTTTATTTAAGTCGCACTAGAGGTGCACAATAGGCTATTGACGGCGATCTGGAAAACATCCCTGAGGATGGTCAGGAAACAACAGCATCATACATTCGTCACACCACGTGTTACAGGGAGGACACTTTTATACACTATCCATCTATCCACATATCTTAATTTTGACCAGGACCAGAGTATGATCAATTTACGATCCAATATCCCCAGATGTATTGATTTGTTACGGAAATTTGAAGGTCTTTGGGATCAGATTTAGCGTGCACCAGTCACCATTTTGTGCACGGGAAGTCTTCCGCAGACGGGTATCGAATTTGCGACCCCACTGACATAGTCCCAGCACCCTACCAGCCAGGTTATCCCGGACCTTGAAAAATAGAAGAAAACAGAAAGGTTTTTTTCGCATACTGTTTAGGAAATCCCATTTTAATTCTCAGCAAGTTACAAAATAAATTTCAAAGCACTTTTAAATAGATGACCCTAACTGAGAAGAAACATAAAGTAATGGTTTCAAAATAACCACCCATTGCAGTAGCTAGATGGCGTAGTCTGAGGACAAAATTAACGTACCAGCGTGCAAATATTTTAGTTTGAATGATCAGCTGTGGGAACAGGACTGAAGTATTTTTTACTTACAGCGTTTCTGCTACTGGTTCTCGCAATACTGTTGGAAAATTAAAGTTTGTCTATGAGCTCTTTGTTTAATTCATTATTTTATTTGGCTCTTAGAATTGGTGGTATAGATTAAATATTTGCGTGCTTTTCAATTGAATTACTTCTGCGTAATCCTTCTCTTCAAAGTTCAGCAATGGAATGATGCTTTTCCTACGTCTCGTCAAGCGTTTTTAAATCTGTTCGCCTCATCTTGGCAAACAACAAGAGGAAAACCAAAGTGTGGCCTTTAATCTTGGCGAGAAGAACAACTGGGGGGGGGGGTNGGGGGGGGGTTGAAGTAGGTATTTGTCTGAAGAATTATGGCATGATACTTATTTCCTTGTCAAATATTTAGACGTGATTAGTACTGCAAGTCTTCATGCATACTGATAGAAATACAATATCAAATCCCTGTTCTTACACGTTTCAGATATGTTCAAAAATATCTGCCTTTAAAAAGCTAACAGGAGTGCCATTTTAACCAATTAAATGTGATTTATTTCAGAGGTGATGATTTCAGCAAATTCAATACAATTTCAGGCAATTGTTCCATTCATTCAAGACAATATATATATTGCAGCATTTTTTGTTTCTGTTCTTATTTTCATTAGATGTGTTGTCCTTAATAGAATCCCA